GCGCGTTAGATTCCTACGTGTAGAATTACCACGCGTTGTATTACTACGCGTTGGATTACTACGCGTTGAATATCCACGCGCTGGATTACTACGCGTTGGATATTCACACACTGGGTTACTACGCGTTGGATTACTACTCGTTGAATTACTATGCATTGGATTATCATACGAGGCATTACTAAGTGTAGAATTACCACGCGATGCATTACTACGCGTTAGTTAACTACGCGTTAGATTCCCACGCGTAGAATTACCACGCGTTGTATTACTACGCGTTGGATTACTATGCGTTGAATATCCACGCGCTGGATTACTACGCGTTGGATATTCGCACGCTGGGTTACTTTACTACGCGTTGGATTACTACACGTTGGATTACTATGCATTGGATTACCACACGTTGCATTACTAAGTGTAGAATTACCACGCGATGCATTACTACGCGTTGGTTAACTACGCGCCAGATTTCCACGTGTTAGATTCGTATGCGTAGAATTACCACGCGTTGTATTACTACGCGTTGGATTACTATGCGTTGAATATCCACGCGCTGGATTACTACGCGTTGGATATTCGCACGCTGGGTTACTACACGTTGGATTACTACGCGTTGGATTACCACACATTAGATAACTACGCGCTATCCGAAGCTGACATTCTCGCGTCTGCGCATGCATAGTCCTCGCGCTCTGATTGGTCTGTGTTTTTCCTTAATAATTCAAAAACGAAGCTTCCTACCCCATTTTTGCAAAGGAAAATCTTATTCAGAATCACGTCAGCTACATTGGACCTACACTAATTGTGACACTCTGTATAAACCACACTCGTATTTTCATTTTGCCTTCAATTCTGATTACAAATTCAGAGACCTATACTAATTGTGAAACGCCCTGTATTTGAACTGTAGGGTCCCCAATGTGATATTGTAAGAGAAGGGGTAAAGTGCTAACTATTGTACTCTGCTACAATTTAATCTTCATTTGACCTTGTCAAGGTTGAATCTTGTTCATAGAATTGTCTAAAAACTAATTATGTTACACAAAAAATTTAAAATGGCTTCCTTAACTTGTAGCATTCACAAAAATATTAATATTATAGCGCTTATAGTTTATATCATATGGTAATGAATGATGCATATCATTAATATTAATAATTTCAAAGATCCACTGCATACGTCGATTTTCATTGTGGTCATGTCAAAAATATTCCAAACACCTTTGAAAAACCTGAACCAGAAGAATGTTAAATCTTCGAATACGAAGGAAGACGTTTCTCGTGGAAAGAATTTATCTCGAATGTCATTCTTGGAACACTTAATCTGAAAAATTTGAATACGTGTTCGTGGATGATTCAAAATAAACCGACAAGTCGACACAAGTTATATACAATGAATCAAACGATCATAAGGGAAAGGATTCGTGGAAATTTCTTTATGGCACCCGATTAATTAACTGTTGACGAACAATGTTACCTTCTTTTCACCGATCAACATCGTATCAGTGTACACTCGGTAGCCATGTTCTTTTGCAAAGATATGGCAATAATAGAAACAGATAAGCAAGATACGAGAATTTATGAAAATGGAAAGTACCCACGATGGCATTGGTATATATAAACATAAACATCAACGGTTGAAATTAATTTATGACCTTATTGGTATACACCTACGGATTTGATGTCTGCTTTTTTAATTTAAACATGTACGTTGCTCATAGGTAAATTATTACATATTGTCACATATGATAATATGTATTATATTTTGAAGGAAAGTTTGTAACGTCGTGTAGTTTGTATGATTAGAAAAATTAACTTTATCTGCGTTTAATCAGTATTTGAGATGCAGTCATTTTAGAAATCATTTTAGATGCAGTTTTAAGTTTTTTCATTTAAATTGTACTTTTTAGTTTCTTAAGAGTAACAGGAATCTAAGCAATTATATTTATATCGACTTATTCACTGATAAGTTTCGTGGAAATGATTATAATATTGAATAAACTTTGAAGTATGACACATTGACTATCAGTGGAAAGAAACGTATGTAGTAAGGAACACTGTAATTTTATTCAAATATTGACTAGTATTATTGTTCTTAGTCGTGTAAGATTGAATAACTACGAATGCAGGTGATTGCTGTACAGTAGACTATAGAACTAGTGCACTCTCGTTATATTGCAGTAATCAATATAGATTCTTATAATTACACTATTATACCATTGACTACTATTATAGTTATATGTCCCGTAAGATTTAATAATTACAATTTGCAGATAACTGCAGTAGAGTATAGGACTACACTACTCTCGTTATATTGCATAATCCACGTAGATCTTCATAATTACACTATTGACTATTACAGTCCTGTAAATATGTTCTGTGAAAGCTAATAATCACAACCAATTAGTAACTGCTATGATTGCATGACTACAGTATACTCTCGTTATATTGCAATTTATAAATCCTTACAATGAGCAAATCCTACCAGTGTATAAGTGCTGTTATTGTGCATGGAAGTCCTATTAATGTACATACAAGTCCTACTAGTGTGCATACAAGTCCTAATGTCCACACGAAAGTGGCAATATAACGAGAGACCAATTTACATTACCTACCAAAGTTTCAAACTAGACTATTATTATTAAAGCTCCACTTATTTTCAGGTATGATCAGCACCTCGTTTTTCTGGGGCTTCATGACCGACACATTTGGTCGTAGGAAGATTATGGTTTATGGCTATATGTTCACCGGACTTCTGAGCGTGGCAACATGTTTCTCGCATACCTCTTGGCTTTTAATTTTGTTCAAATTCCTCGACGGTGTGATGTAAGTAGAGAAAGCTGTAATACAAACAGCCTAATAGAATGTTGCTTATTAATTTCAACTCGTTCTTGCAATTACAATCTTTGACAACTGTTGACCTTAAACAATGATATACTACCAATGTGCATTCATTATATTTCATTATCTTTCATTAAATGGAGACACATTGTAATGAAATAGACCAAAGTATATTAAAATTGAAATAAAATCTAATAAATTCAAATTTAAAAATTAAAATAAAATTAGATACAGCAAACTGTGTTTATCTGCTGAAAAGTCTTTGCTATTATGTTTCTTTTAGACCTCCATTATTGATATTTAATTTGTTGAGTTTGATTAAAATAAAATTACATACAACTGCGTTTTCTTATCTGCTGAAAAATCTTTGGTATTATATTTCTTTTAAACCTACATCATTTTCAATGACATTTGTTAATGAGTCAATGTTCTTCATATATCGTTCTACTTTACCAAGTGGATTCATCTTGAATCCACTTCACCTTGAAGCTTCACATCCCAATCAAATTTTGCAATTATATTCACAGTATATCTGGTCCATATGCAGCGTTGATGTCATACTTAGCTGAAATACACAACGAGACGCATCGATCTCGCAGCTATATGTGGCTAGGAGTCTTCTTCTCCTTAGGAAACATCTCTCTACCTTGTAAGTATTCAATAATTCATGATAACACAAAAAATCGACACTAATTTTCATTTATGTAATGTGGACTATAATCAGTCTAATTAATTATAATCAAATATGTCCATGTAATATGCAATGTAATATGATATACATCTATTATGTACACTATAATGTACCACACGTAATGTTCGATTATTGTAAAATTTAAAAAAAAATTTTACGATTTTCTCAAAATAATTTAAACGCTAAATAATTTCATTTTTGTAGTGCACTAATACTCGTCATTTTGCATTAGTGACAATACAATTTTATTGTGGTCTTCATATATAATCGACGTGATTCAGTTATGAAGTTTTGTCCTAATTCATCCTAAAAGCATCACAAGAAGTTCAATTAGTCAAAACCCAAGAACGCAAGGAGTAAGTACATAAATAATTGCAGGCATAGCATGGCTGATCATACCCCAAAAATGGACCATAAATCTAGGAAGCGGAGCGATGGAAATCAATTCCTGGAGAGTATTTCTGGCAATCTGTTCGTTGCCAGAATTCCTTGCATGCGTGGCCCTGTACGCTTTCCCCGAGAGCCCGCGTTTCCTTTTATTGAAAGGCAGACGCGAAGAAGCCCTCGAGGTCTTCAAGAAGATCTACTCGGTTAACACCGGCAAAGAGCCGGACACGTATCCGGTGAGTAACACCAAAATTAGGTTTTTTCCACAAAAAAGTGACGTGCGATCTTGTTCTCGTTATCTTATCGAAAAGGCATTTAATTGCTTCCGGCTTAATTGTGGAGGACCTTTATTGTAAATTAGGATTTCTTGGAACGTTGCTTCTTTCAAGTACTATTATAATAATTACGATTAACTAGCTCTGCGATTAACTAGTTTTATGTACAAGTTCTTTTGGATGTAATACATTTTGATAGAAACATTGTATAATTTACGAAAAATTTGTCCAAAGTACAAATGTTTGATAATTGTTATTATTTACAGATAAAAGATCTGGAGGACGAATATTCCGTGGAAACGTGCAGCAACAGTCTGAAGGACAAATTGCATTCGGGTTGGTTGCAAATTAAACCATTGTTCTCGTCGCCGAATATCTTCAAGCTCATCGCTATCAGTTTGATCCAACTCGGAGCCACAATAGGGTTAGAATCGATTCCTTCTAAATTCCGCCATTAACTCTTCACGTACTCTTTGTAATTTTTAATTCTTTCGTTAGAAAGTTACATATTCTGTAATTAGACTTTTTACACTTCTTATAATAAGCGTAGATTCCCGTATAAGCGTTGTTGTAGTAGACTCTCGCTATATGGCCCACCTATATTGGACGTAAATATTTGCTCGTACAAAATTTGTAAAATGTCCTGAGATATTTGAGGAGTAATAGAAATGTATCTGAGGAGTCAGTGTTCAAATTTAAATTATAAAAAAAGAATATAAAATCAAGAGATTTGAAGAGTCAACATTCAAATTTTGCAACAATTTTGTGACAATTGTAACAAAAGTCAATTAACTAATTGTCGATTTTTAGGTCAAACTCCATCAGACTATGGATGCCGCAACTATTCACAATGATGGAGCATTTCAAGCACGATTACATGAAACAAGAATATTCGAGCAGCCAGCCGCGCTTCTGTTACATGTTAGGCCAACAGCAAAGCAATCATAGTTCCTTCTCAAGTTTCAAGAATGAAACTTCAAACGTTGCTCACGAATGCATACCGGTATACATTCATAATTATACACATTTATTAGTTTGTTGCAATTAGTACATTTTTGTGTCATTTCAGGCGGAATTGAATTCAACAGTATTCATCAATTCTATTGTGATAGCTACAACTGGTGTTGTAGGATATACTTTAGCGGGATCGTTAATCACTGTTATAGGAAAGAAGAAACTGATAGGTAAGATGATTTAAATTATTTATTTTATCATGTAATTTTAATTTACGCAAGGAGCAAAGAATGATGCTTATACCATCATAAAAAGAAACAGTGTTTCTTTATTTTTACATTTTTCTACAAATTTGAGCCTATTTTATAATTTTCACTATAATATTTTACAAGCTGAAGTATAAAATATTGTTACCATTAAATATTTAATCTAACTGATGAATTGTAACAGCTGAATAATAAATCTATTTTATAATTTTCGCTATAATGTTTTGCAAGTATAAAATAGTGTTATTTAATCTAATGATTCATTTTTAGCGACCTGTTTCATGGTGGCCGCAGCTTGCTGCGCATCCCTATATTGGGCAGACAATACCAATAGCATTCTCGGTTTGTCTTCAGTTTTCGTGGCTATGTCGAGCATAGGCGGTGCCTGTGTCATAAACGTTATAGTCGACAATTTCCCCACCTGTCTCAGGTATGCAAATTTTAAACAATTTTTTATTGTTCTGGCTCATCAATTACCTCATACTTTCAGAACTATGGCGGTTAGTTTAACTATGATGGTTGGCAGAATTGGGGCAGTCATAGGAAACTTGTTATTCCCAATTTTATTCGACTTGTCATGTTTGGGACCTTTCGTCATGATTGGCTCTGCTTCTTTAGGTAAATTGTGACACACATTTTAATATAATATAATTTACATAATTTCTTAAGTAATAGGTAAAAATTTATCTTACAATTTATTACTAAAATTTTTCTTACAATTTATTTATGTCTCTTATTTATTAATTTATGTCTCGCATTATTTATCATAAGAAATTACTGAAGGATTAATATTTAAAAATTTTCAGTATCGGCCTTATTGGTTACTCTTCTTCCCCGGAAGCACTCCGGCAAGGATAAATCGAAACAGCTCGCCTGAGAACCGCCATATTGGATAAAATACGCATACACATCTAGGAATAAAACATTCGCTTGTAAATACGTCCCTGGTCTTTCGTCGACTGTGTGTAGTTTCGATGCATGATTATTTTTATCATGTAAATATGTAAATATACAGTTATACTCATGTAGCATAAGATCACCGTTTTATATATTCGTGCAATTAAACTCGATCCGCGGAACCAGCGTCATACCTGAAACTTTTAGTGAGTCTCGTAGTTAAACAGCGTGAAATAATTATTTTAGACTAATCCTTCATCGTATTTTAATCGTTTCGTCAACCAGTGAATTGTTAGGTAATCAGTCGAGTTGCGTCGTGATGAAACGATGTAACAAAAAGGATCATTAATGTTATATAATAAATCTATTTTATTATTATTTTAATGTGAACACATTATTTTCGTCGACTGAGGTATTAAATAAGCACAAAATTGTGAAAAAAATTTATACTAACAGCAAGAGTCTTAAGAAAAAAATATTAAAAACTTTGTTATATTCTTAAAATTATTATGAGTGTATTCTTCAGACTGAAATGAATCAAAAAGTCCTTTACAGTTTTGCAATCGGTGGTCTCGTTCTTGAGATATTAAAAATTGAGTATCAGGCTCATGGGCTTCTCCATTTAACCCCAAAGCAACTTTAACATACTCTAATTTCTAATATTCTAATATTGTTATATTTATTTCTAGTTATAGTAAATTTTATTTGCTTGAAAAGTAAAAGAATTTATCCGACACATATTTACAATCAAAATGCGTTCCCGTAGGTTTGTATCAAATATGCATGCGCAAATGCCACCCCTAATGACTAGCTGCATCCCCTGTTCCAACGTGAGTCTCCAAAGTCCCTAGAAAGTTCATAAGAACCTGCAAAAATTGTTCCATACGTATCTTCCACCAGTTTGTTTATAAAGATTGTATAAAATAAAGGAATTAATTTCAAGAAAAATGTTTGAAGAACGGCGGCTGATAAAACAGTTTCGTTATCAGCGCATTCGAGGGAATTTAGTTCGTGACAACCTACAGCGCCTCGTCAAGTGAAGTGGTTTTGTCAGAAATGGAGAAAGTGAACGTAATGTGAAAATATCAGAGTTTCTTGGTCGCTTCGTAGATTTTTAGGCCGGCTAGGCACCATGGAAGAAGTGTTCCAGAACGGGAATTATCAAAGGGAGGCAAATGCGAACATGACCACCACAGAAACGCAGAAAGAGGTGAATATTCCCTTTCCGTTTCAGCTCCTCCACTAAATCAATACTTGACGGCTTATTTCGAACGCTTGTTACTCGTATTCTTTTATAAAAATATTTATTTATTTTCTGTTTTTGTAATCACTGAAGAACAATATTATTACTACTGAAGATACAATAAATTACTATACCGAAAATGTAAGTATTGTGAAAGAACTGAAGCGGTAGGCAGTGATTCTCATGTTTTGTTATTGTCAAGTTTTTATGTTCCATATATAGCATTTCACAGTCTTTTTTTTTACAATTGTAGTGATAATAAACTTCATTTAACTATGCTTTTATTCACTGCATATTGTATTAAAGTTAATGACTTCGTATCCATCTGTAATAAAATACAATTGTTCTTAAAAAATGTATAACTGTCTGAAATAAAACATCCCTTTCTCAAAAAAAATTATTCATATAATTGTAATAATTTCCTATTTTCTTCATACGTACAATAAAGTAGGTCTTTCACTGTTCAGTTGAGCACCACTGAAATAGTATTTGCAGTGGTTGCAGTATACACGTACATACACACAGTATGTAGGGTATTTAAACCCACATATGATATCTTTAAGAAATATGTGGTAGCATAAAGTTGGATATCAGTGAATGTTGTCGTATTATATAACCGTATCTGTATGCTGTAAACTTAATCAGTTTTATTCTCAGATTAATAATAATGTACCATTGTGAAGTATAATTTATTAGCTATGTATTTAAATTATATCTGTTTTTCTCTTGTATCCCTACAATCATTGAAATACATTACAAATACTAACAATAAGCAATATGTAATTATCACATGAATTTATATCCTTGATTACATGTATTATTCATTACACATTAGGATTCATTACTTGATCACATGGAGATCTCAATAACTGAGGCTGAAAAACGAGCAAATGGAGTATTAAATTTAAGAGAATTTTATACAGTCTACCTCATTGAGACTAAGTAAGTATTAATGTTCTTCATAAATATTATGCAAAGATGTGTACATGAATTATTGTTACAGAGCTAAAGGTGTAATCACTGAAGTGAGCTTTCTGTGGCGCCGGTATACAGAATTTGAACTGCTTCGAGCTTATTTAGAGGTTTCTTATCCATACATAGTACTGCCTCCTTTACCAGAAAAAAAAGTTTTATATGCGTGGCAAAAAGTAACAACAGACACATTTGATCCAGACTTTGTTGATAGGCGTAGAGCAGGTCTTGAGGTATGCATATATACACTTATTTGCTGATATGTATTTAAGATACTCATTATACAATTTTTTTAAGAACTTCCTCTTGAGGGTAGCATCCCATCCTGTATTATCTCGTGATGTGCATTTTATGGGATTTTTACAACAGAAGGATGGCTGGAGAGAAAGTATTAAAGAGACTGGTAAATTATACACTTTACTGCAATTGTATTTCATTAGCAAGTATAATAATTGTTTGTCTCTATAACAGGATACCTGCAATTAGCAGAATCAAAATTAAAAGCACTCAGCGTAGCGGTACGATTAAGGAAACCAGACAAACGTTTTGAAACAATCAAAAATTATGGAATTGAACTTCAGGTATCTTGATTATTCAGCAGTAGTTCAGAATAATATGTTTGATGTTGTTTAACATTGCAGAATAATTTATGTAATCTTCTTCGGGTACGCGCACGGCTCGTAGAAAAACAATATAGCTTGTACAAATTACACGCTAATTATGGTCGTGTGTTTAGCGAATGGAGTGCCATAGAAAGGGAAATGGGTGACGGACTACAGGTACTTAGGTTTGAAGTATAATATCTTATGATACTATGACATTCTTAAACTTTGAGGTATAATTAAAATACACCCGACGTGTATGTATTGTACAGCGCACTGCATTACAGCCTCTTTTCTTAGAAATCGGGTCATTATCTGGATTCGTTAGCAGCGACAATAGACACAACGCTTGAAGAAGAGGAATTAATAGCAGACCAATTAAAAGAATGGCTCTTTGGGGCTTCTGCGTTACAAGCAGTTGTCAAACGAAGGGAAGCTTTACAACTAGCCAAGGATGAAGCTCATGATGCTTTAACTGCAGCACTTGAACAGAAGGAAAAGGTTATGCAAGGTTTGTAAGGAATATTGTCAAGATTTCTGGTAAACAAAATAATGTTTAACACAGGAAGAATTGTTCCAGGTAAATCGGGTTTAATGTCGCGATTATTTGGTTCCGTGGATACGGAAGAAGTCCGTGAATTAAAAGTTTTACAGTTGGAACAGCGAATTGCACAGCAAGAAGAAGCTGTAAAACGTGTGGATGAAGATTTGAAGTAAGACACATTTATAAAATACTTAATGTCCATCTTAAAAAATGATACATATGTTTGTGTATTAAATATGTAATAATACTATTAGGTCTTTCTCTGCAAAAGCAGTGATGGATATTGAAAGATTCCAACACCAAAAAGTGGTGGATTTAAAAGATATTTTGGCGGACTACTGTATCCTGCAATTTAAACTTGTTCGAAAGGTAAAGTGTTTATAGGTTATGATTCGCCCTCTATCTTCAGGTGGAGGTACTAAAATTATTGTTGAACGTTACAGGGATTACAAGCTTGGCAGCATATTAAAGGTTGTCTTGAAAGTATGCCATAAAATATTTTGTCTTATTTAAGCTGACACAGAACAATAATTGTTCCCACATCTCTTGTGCGATATACATTCCTATATTTATAAGCTCACTCATACTGTACGCTTATTATAACATGAATGTACAAGATTGTTTCTATTATTTAACGTTAGACTATATAATATATATATATACATATTATATATACACACGATTCATGTTGAACATATTAGATATGTGAAGCATTATTTAATATTTATATGTATTTAGTATGTTCTTGTTGTAAATGTAAGATACAATTTACCAATTACATGGATGTTCAAATAGTACTTAAGGATTATCTGATAGCAAGAATTACGTGATTTATATGTAATATAAGTCACCAAGCGAAATTTCTGGTACGTCAACAATGAAAGTAGGAATGTCATTGTTCTAATATTTTACACACTGTTTTCTGTCTGCTCAATAGGCATTTAAATTTAATTGCTGTTGATCAAATCTTTCGATTGTATCTCATTCGGATACGGCTGTTTCATTTATTTTTTCATAATATGTAGTAGGAATATTATTAATAAATTGCGAAATTTAGGATTTAAAATATATGCTGTTTTATACGTGTGAATAAATATGTTTCTCAATGCAATTCGTAATCGCAGCTAAAGCATACAATACGGGTCGTTTTCGTCACTAACAATTATTTAAGTTTACACGTTTTGTAATACTCTACGACTATTTAAAATCGATGAATGTCTATTATACAAATACTAGAATTATTATTACAGTACAATATATTCATCTGTTTTTTTAAATTGTAAATCTGATTCAATTATATTGTAATTAAAATTATGTGATATGTATTGTACTATGTAGTGTAAATTTCTCTTTCCTGGGGAAAATTGTAGGTAAGGGAATAAACTACTACTCGTTTCTTACAGGTATACATTGTATCTATGTACAGCAGGTATGAGTAGGGTGGTTTTGTTGGTAGGGTAGAAAATGATATTAAGGTGGTACAAAATTTATTTTCAAGTCACCAAAAGCCATTCTTATACATGTTTTCTTTCTTATAAAGTAATGTGTAATCAATATTAATAAATATATAGCATATTAATCAATAAAATCAATATTTAAATTTTTGCAAAACTAGTGGCGCCATCTCTTCAACAAACAGGGTGAACTACACGGTTTTGGAACTGTAGGTTCATTAGTTCATACATTCTGTCTCTAGATGGCACTACTTGTTCCATTTTAGTAATAATTCAATTAATATTGATTTTATCGATTAACATGTTTAAAGTCGTCAAAAACCATTTAATACTTGTTATATGTAGAATTCTAATGTCTTATAAATTAAAATATATATCATCATAAATAAATCTCATAAGGTATATAGTATTTCAAATTTATTTTAATTAGTTTTTACCTTCAGCCGCTAGATGGCTAAGTATTTTAATGTCCATAAAATGCAATTAAAACAATTTTCAAATATAATAATTCTAATTCATTGAAAAATATTTTTTTGACTTTGTTGTATCTTTAGAATAATTAACGACTGTCAACAAAATGTATAATTGTTTTATATTAGGAAAAAATTAAAATATCTACTTCTGAGAGTCTCATATATGAAAAGTAGATGGCGATGAGAGTATTGTTTTCTCACAGGACGCGCAGAAAAAAAATTTCAAAATTATTATAAAAAAAAGATTTCTTTTTTTTTTTAAATTAGAGGTTTTAAAATATAGGTATTTAACGATCTTGAAATTTGGAGTTTTAGGAGTTTAAATTTTGTGATTTGGGTATTTTAGAAGTTTGAGATCTAAGGATTTTGGGATCTAGGGATATTATGGTCCAAGGATTTCGGAATCTAGGGATTCGGGGATTTACTAACTTCAGATTTTAGGAATTTTAGGATCTGGGGAATTCGGGATTTAGAGATTTCGGCGTTTATTTCGGGATCTAGTGATTTTGGGATCTAGTGATTTTGGGACCTAGTGATTTTGGGATCTAATGATTTTGGGATTTAGTAATTTGGGATCTAGTGACTTTTGGATTTAGGGTTTTTGGGATCTAGTGATGTGGGGTTTTAGTAATTTTAGGATTTAGTAATTTGGAATCTAGGGATTTAGTGATTTTGGAATCTAGGGATTTCTAAATCTAGTGATTTATGAATTTAGAATCTTTTCAAAATCGAGATTTTGGGCTCTAAGAAAATTTGAAAATTTGAATATTTACATATTATGTAATTTGAAAATTTGAGTTTTTTTACGAATTTTGTAAAACATGGAAAATCGAAAAATTTCGAAATTTGGCCATTTGAGAATTTCAAAATTAAGAGACTCGAAAACCAAGAAAGATTCTACGAATATCATGATTGTAAAATTTGCAAAAATCGAAAATTCGAAAACTTGCAAATATAAAAACATTCATATGCACATGTACGTACATGTTTGTCGAAAGGAGGCTGTCCGTGAGTGTACGACCCTGAAAAGCGATTAAGGAAGAAGAAAAAAAGTCGTCCGGTCGAAAGTCTCTATCGACTGGCGGGCTAACGCGTGTTTCGCACGGTATTCTCATGGCTCGCGACACATTAGCAAGTTGGTAGCCTTCCAGGCACGTCCTTTTGAATGAGTCCTGGCTGGTTTCCAGCGTGCAGCCTATCCTTTTACGGGATATCACGGCAGCCTGCTGCTGAAGCTCGTAGCGTCCAAGTAGGACCGTCGTCGCCCGTTTCTTGTCGGGGGATTATCGGCGGCAATTGCGGCAAGTGCATCGAATTCCCCGACGATTGTCTACGAAATTGCGAAAGATTGCCCACTTGAAGAAGTAACTCGTTGCCGCGGCAACCGCGTTCGAGATTCTCTCAGGATTTGAATTAGTTCGGACTTTTCGGCTTTATGTCGGGATTCAAATCATCTGAAAGTTTAGAATGCACCATTTGGAAACTCGGAGTTGGCTGAAACCTTCGGTGAACTTGTGTCATCTGTAACTGAGACATGCTGCAAATACTATGTTGTATAATATAAAGTAACATTATGAAGCTTAAGCTGAATTAATATTTTGCATGTTTTAATATCTTGTTATATTTGTATGATTTTTATTGAAGTTTATTAAAAAAGAAATAATAAAAAAATTGTTTTACGTTTAATGTAAAAAAGTGCAGAACACATTTGCATCAAAATACTGTATTTGTGTCCAATTTACACATATGTGATTTTACAACCGAAGGATCAAATTTTATATGAAATAAGCTTGTAGTACTACAACCTTGTACTGAGGCAAGAACTGAAGTTTATTAAAAAAGAAATAACCATTAAAAATTGCTTCATATTTAATGTAAAAAAATGCAGAACACATTTGCATCAAAATACTGCATATGTGTCCAATTTACACATATGTGATTTTACAATCGAAGGATCAAATTTTATATAAAATAAGCTTGTAGTACTACAACCTTGTACTGTGGGAAGAACTGAAGTTTATTAAAAAAGAAATAACCATTAAAAATTGTTTCATATTTAATGTAAAAAAATGCAGAACACATTTGCATCAAAATACTGCATATGTGTCCAATTTACACATATGTGATTTTACAATCGAAGGATCAAATTTTATATAAAATAAGCTTGTAGTACTACAACCTTGTACTGTGGGAAGAACTGAAGTTCATTAAAAAAGAAATAACTATTAAAAATTGTTTCATATTTAATGTAAAAAAATACAGAACACATTTGCATCAAAATACTGCATATGTGTCTAATTTACACATATGTGATTTTACAATCGAAGGATCAAATTTTATATAAAATAAGCTTGTAGTACAATAACCTTGTACTGAGGGAAGAACTGAAGGTTATTAAAAAAGAAATAATCATTAAAAATTGTTTCATATTTAATGTAAAAAAATGCAGAACACATTTGCGTCAAAATACTGCATATGTGTCTAATTTACACATATGTGATTCTACAATCGAAAGATCAAATTTTATATAAAATAAGCTTGTAGTACTATAACCTTATACTGAGGGAAGAACTGAAGTTTATTAAAAAAGAAATAACCATTAAAAATTGTTTCATATTTAATGTAAAAAAATGCAGAACACATTTGCATCAAAATACTGCATATGTGTCCAATTTACACATATGTGATTTAACTGAAAGATCAAATTTTATATAAAATAAGCTTGTAGTACTATAAACTCGTATTAACCTGAGGTAAAAATGGGAACAGTAGAAAATATAATTTTGAAGAGGGGTGATCAACCCCTAAGAGAAAGAACACATGTGCGGTATTTTTGAGTACTCGGTGATTGGCAGATAGTGTTACTTGTAAGTCACGTAGCAACGATCCGGTTCGAAGAAAATTATCCCGCGTGTCATGTTTTATTGCCGGCTTGGGGCTACTGCTACGAGCGCAACTGTTTCACGAATAGGTACGATGCAATTTCCGCAGTTACCAGGCGTCAACCTCCGCGGCGTTCAATAATTGACGCGTGTCAACGTTGAAACGGGAAACGGTCGTTTTTAACCCCTTTCACCGTAAACGACGTACACAAAGTGTCTCGAGGAAGGTGTGGTAAAGAGGTCCTGTGCCATTTCACTGAAAGAACGTAATAAAGATTTCACGTTCGATTTCCTGTTATTAAGAACCAGAACAAATTTTATTTCTTCTTAAATTTTGGTAAAATTTTCTTAAAATTTGTGGAGAAAATTGTAAGTGTCCCCATCTTGACAAAAATGAAGATAGGTCATCAGGTTCATAGAAGAACCTGCCAGAACTGAAAAACAGGAGCCATCAGAAGGTTGCAAAAAAGTTGAAGTGTCAAAGGTAAGAAGATACAGGTCAAACGTGTATGTAGATACCGAGCTTTATCGCGTCAAGATAGAAAGAATTCCCGAGAAAAAGAAATTTGTCGGAACACCTTGTAGAAAGCTGTTCAAGTCCAAAAAGAAGAGCAAAGAGGAATTTCAATGGAACCAAAAGTGAACCGAAGCAAAACAGAAGTGGAAGCAGTGGCTCAGAAACGTCAAATAGAGACAGTCAGAAGAATCAAGAAACAAAGAAAGATCTCGCGAGAGAGACACGGAACAAAGAAAGACTTTGCTGGAGAGAAATTAAGAGTAACAAAGTTCGCGGGAGACCCCGGGAGAGACAGGAACTTCATCAAAAGAGTCGAACAGAGAGGAGCAGAAAGGGACGGATAGTTTGAATGATAGGACGAAAAGGGTGAGGAGCGAGCGCGGAGAGAAAGGGACATCCAGAGAAGACGTAGGAAACTCGCGAAAGGGACAAACATTTGTGATAGGGACGGAAATGTGCATGGGTCTATTGTGCGATACGGGAGGCAATAGCTTCTAACCGCGTACATGTACGCGTGGGTTCCTTTATTGTCGGGCATATTCTGTCTGCGACTTTTGGAAATGGAGACTGCCAAAAATCTGACTACAGGATGTTTCATAAGTTGGTAATTCACTCACAAGATGTCTACTAGGATAATCTTGGTTATTGGACACTTATCCGGACACTTCTCTACTAACAACCATTACACTGTGTTTACACATCTCTTTCGTCACATACACAGTATCAAAATACATCCCTTTCAGATTAATACACTGCTGGGCTCGCTCACACAACGTTAATATAGATTTTTTTGTATAGTTTTGCATAATTGCTTCAAACACCCTTGTCATAGCTACTTGAACTTCTTTTTTTACCAAGAAATTACGGCGCGTGGTATTGCAGCTCGGGGAATTACGGTGTCAGGAATTACGACGCGTGGAACTACGACGCGAGGAATTATAACGCGTG